ATGACTAGTTTCAAGCTTTTTTTTTTTTTTTTTTTTTTAAGAAAAAGCAAGCAAATTGGACATGCTACCAAAAATTTTAAAAAATAAATTGAAAAAAAAAGAGCGAGTAATTGAACAAGTAACTCACAAAAGCACATAATATAATACTAAACATTATTCACTTGAGAGGTATCAAAGAAGACATTAGAATGTCCTGTAAACCTGGCAAACCTCATCATAGGACATAGATCAGCTTCAGATGGGTTGTTTAAAAACAAAAACAAAAACAAAACAAAACCCCAATGTTGAAGAACATGCATTGGGAATAATTCCAGTTAAATTGTGATTTTAAGTACCTACTAGTACTAGTGGAATCGCAAGGATGTTGAATTTTGCAATGGTAACGATCAAATTCTAGAATTATAGTGCTTCACTTATACAGAGAAAAACTTTGTTCGGCTAAATCAGAAGATTTTCCCCAATTTTGGTTAACATCTGAAGATGAAAATAGAGTACAAGAAGTTACGAACTAAAATCTACAGCAAGCAAGAAGCTTTCTACCCTGAAAGGACGGATTAGAAGAACAATACAAGACATGCTCTATATCAGTTACTGCAAGGCACCCCCAGAAAAAAGAGACGAAAGACTACATTTATTAAGGAACCACATTGTCTGCTGTTGAGAAAATGTAGCTCTTATGAGAATGTGACTCACTCCATTCTGCGCATCTTTATCTTGAGCGGAATTTCCTTGTAAGACTGAACCTTCACAGCTGCTCGGCGCAATGGCCTTCCAACAGATGATCGTCTAAGTTCTTGACCTTCAGACCCAGCAGTAGCATTTCCTTCATATTCTTTTTTAACTGATAATTCCGAGAATGTTTGACCACTTGTGCCAATTTCATCATCATGTAGAGAAGACACGTGATATTTGGCATCAATCTCATACGATTCTTCAGTTGCTTCTGATTCTTCAGTTTTAAACGTAGCAGATTGCCTTCTTGAACGTCTGCCAGGAAACCATAAAAGTCATTTGTATTGCCTTAATGAATTTCTTAGGAAACATTTGACACTAGGTAATTTCACAAGCAAATCAAATCAAGAAAAAGAATAAACCTTTTCTTCTCCGTCTCCTCTCTAACTTCAAACGCTTTAACAGTAGGAGGGCCCAAATCTTCAGATCCAGGAATATCATTTTCTTCATCTTCCTTTTTTGTTGATGATTCCAGTATTGTTTGACCGCTTGCATCAATCTGATCGTCATGTGTAGAAGAAACGGGAATTTTAGCATTATCCATCGGAAAAGAGTCTTCAGTTACTTCTAATCCTTTGGATTTCAACCGTGCAGATTGCCTTCTCGAACAACTCCTGTCAAGAAACCATATAAATTCCAAAATAGAAACAAGGTAATTATGCAAAGAAACAAAAACAAGAAAGGCAAAAAGAAACCTTCTCTTGTTAACCTCCTCTTTAGCACAGACTGCTTTAACAGGAGGACGGCCCAAAGCTGCAAGATCACAAAAGAAAATGATTGGTAAAGCAAAGACAACCAAAATTTATAACAGATTTCGATAATATTCAATACATTGGTTCCTTGATTGTTTTCTCTGGTTGGCAAAACTAGGTTTAGTTTCTTTATCTGCTTGAGAGGATTTTGCTGTTTCATCATGATGACTTGAACCGGCCTAAAAAGTGGAAGAAAATTTGTGATAATACAGGATAGGAGGACAATAATAAAGAACAATTATCAAAATTGTAACAAGAATAGTTTGCATTTTGCTTTTACCTCATTATTATAATCCAGACATGTAATGATTTTTCCTCTCTTCTAGGAAAACAAGATATATAAAATCAGGCAGTCAGCAAGACAGTTTACAATTTTACATGCCAAAAATTAGAAGTGATGCCACTTATACTAACCCCTGCCTCTACTTTTCTTGCTATGAGTAGTCCATTTTTGCATCCGAGTTCGTGCTGAACTACTTTTAACTGTAAGAAAAAGAAGAGTGTAAAGAGACTTGTGAATTGAAGCGAATACTAATAGATATTACGAATCAAGGCACCAAATTATGCCAACTTCTTGCACTTAACTTACCCTGTCTTTACCTAAATTAAGCTCCTGTGCCAATTAAAACACAACAATAGTTTAATTGAGGTGAAGATAATTTTCAAACAATAAAAATTCAATTATAAAGCATTAGTAATTTAGCATCTAAAACTGTACCGTCAGCATTTGGTTGTTCGCTTGAGCAAGTTGAGAGTTCTGTAACTGCACTTTCTGAAGGTTTACTCTCAGTTTCCGTAGCTCCACCGCACTATGTTCAATAAGCTTGCTGTAAACTACTGTTAAAGAAACCAAAATATTCTAAACAATTCCAAATACATTAGGGAAGGAGCCAGAAAATCGACCATAAAGGATACTTTCGGTCCGCAAGAAGCTTCTTCAATTCCACATTTTCCTGAAAGCAGCCTACCCAAGTTAATCCCACAACCTAGGAAAACACCAACCAAGCATATTTATGTGCAAAAGAAGTACCTTTTCCAGCTTGTCAACATAATCTTTAGTGGTAATTGTAGTGGCCTTATTCTTCGCATCTGGGTTTATTTGTTTAGCTAAATTTTGTAAGTTACTTATGTCCGAAAGCATTTTTCTCTGGGCACCGCCGATTCTCTCCCCCTTTTTACCATCTGCTATTCATAGCAATTATGTCACAAAACAGTCAAAAAACCCTAATTGGCCACATCCTACGAAAATTCCAATCTTCCAATTGAATCAAATTTAGCATTATAAGTCCCGTGAGAGCAAATAAAACAATATTTCCCAATCTCATCTTAAGAACCCTAAAAGGGGTTCAAGAAATTAGGCTTTTCGCCGGGAAATCTAACGCGATTAATTTTCCAGAACTGTTGACGATTTCAGGAAGAAAATCGGAACAAAGATAAATCTGAAAGTGATGGTAATCAAGATTTCCTATTCAGGGTTTGAGAAACAAGAAATGGAGCAAGAAAAGTTTACCTCCGACAGCGGCATTGTTTGAATCGACAAGAATGGCAGTATCCATGGCGCGGGGAATCGGAAGCTCAAGAGTCAAGCCCTAATCTCTCTCTCCTCTCCTCTCCTCTCCTCTCCTCTCTCTCTCTCTCAGATTTGTGAAAGAGCAGAGGGAAATCGGAGGAAAGTTGAAACTGAACAAGGAAGGAAAATGGGAAAAATAAGAGGAGGGTAAAATCATGAAAACATAACAGTTCGAAATTTAAACGTTATTCCGAAGCGAACCCGAGCCTATATTTGAATCCCCTACTTCCAAACCTAACATAACAGGATAGATGCGTAACAATTGTTTGAGCTAAAAATAAAATAAAATAAAAAATATAAAAAAAAATAATTACGCATGGGTAATAATTGTTTTTTTTATAAAAAACAAAAAAGAGATAAATATTTCCTCGAATATATAGGTATTGAATTTTTACATATACTTTATTAATATCTTTTAATTAAAAGATTATATTAATTAAAAAGATATTAATTAAAAATAAAAATAAAAATCTTAAAATAATATACTCAAATAATGCATTCACTAATTTTCTCTTTTTTTATCATTATTTTATTTATTGTCTCCTTCCATCTAACCATGGATCAATTAAAATAAGCTTTTCGTTAGCGTAAAAATATAATAATAACACTGAAAATAAAAATAAAAAAATGAACTTTTTAGCCCTAGGGTTAAGGATTTCCTTTCTAACTATTGATAGATACTAATGTTTTAACTGTTAAATTAAGATTTTAATGGTTTAATATGTGAATGTCCACTATAAAAATTTACAGCATATAATAGAAAACTACTACAATCACAAATTAATCCAATAGTTGAAACAACGATACCTATTTGTAGTTAGAAAGAATAGGTCTTACGTATAAATTTTTAAAAAAAAGATAAGAGAGAATTATATGGTTGGGTATGAAAAACAACTCTGTTAGTAGAATTTTATTTTTAATGGTCATATTTCTATTTGATTATGTCAGTTTTACATTTTTTTATATTGATTTGTTTTTGCTCAAATCTAATATTTAGCATACACTACCAATAGGGATAACTTATTATAGAAAACTCCAATAAAAAATTAAACCACTAACTCTATTCAATCACGTGTAAATAAAAATACAAATAAAAATAAAAACTTAAAGCGTTAGGAATGATAGAAAAGCGTTGAATAGAGGGAGGGAGAAGGGTAGGGGCTCTGGAGGGATAGTGGTGGAATGAGTGAATATATCCATTATTTGATTGAAAGGAGGAGAGGACATGGAGGGACAGAATCCTCCTCCAACTAATCAATTTGGATCCTTCAATTCATGAAAGTATTCAACCAATCCAACGAAATTTAAATTAAAGGTACTTTTTTATTCTTCAAAATAAATAATAAAATTGACAATATAATAATTAAATAAATAACCATCATCCATCATTTTAATATAGGCCTGACATTCTTATTCTTTTTGAAACGAAAATTTCTTAAAATAGTATGGATAAAACGTTAAGAAGATGGAACTTTAAGAGTTGGTGTTATGTTTCGCCTGTTGGTTTATCTGGTGGATTATTTGTTGCTTGGCAAAATCACTTAAATGTGGAGGTGATTTCTCAAGACAAAAATTTATTTTGTTGTTGGGTTTCAGACGGACCTGGCTTCTGTCGCATGTTGTTATTGACAACATATGGTCCTCCTAAGGGATCCGATCAAGTCTCTTTTTGGAGAAGAATCCGTGGAGTTGGTGAGTCCTTAGAAGAGCCTTAGTGATTACGCCCAAACGTGTACAAAAACAAGCGGTTAATTATAGTATAATTAGGACAGTCGATCCCACGAGGAGACGATAAATTGAACAAGAAACGATTAGCAAATAAAAAGCGTTAGGAAAGTAAGCAATCAAACAAAGAAGAGAAATGAGTGTTTTTGATGATTTTTTGAACCATTTAAAATGGAGAAAATTCAATAATTAAAAGTGGTAAGACATTGAGAATCATCTATATGCTTTGTTCACCTATTTGAATTTTGATTCATAAATTGACTCAATTGAAAGTTTCACATCCCAAATAATCAATCGGAAAATAAATATTTGAAGAACTTGTAAATGAAAATGTATTCAAATAAATAAAATCCTTACGTTTAGAACTAGAAAAAATTATCTTATGAGAAATCTAAAAGCGACAATAACCGTTGGCAATATTGCAGTAAAAGACTACTCATAAAACAATACCTACCAATATATAATATCATGTAACAATTACATAAAAAGAGCTTGACTAGATTTATATAAAAGTTGACAATAAAATATCTTGATAAGAGGAAGAAATATGTTAAAAGAAAATTATTTACTCAAATGTATAAAACTTAGAAACTATTGGAGAATCAAAATCCAAACAAGCTTACTACACATATAGGATCATCTCTAGTCTCACCCAAGAACTTTAGCCTAGCTTGCACATAATTCTCATAAAATTCTAAAAAGAAAGTATGAGAAAAAGAGCAAGAAAATAAGAGAAAAGGTACCTAAGCTTAGACTAAAATCAGCAACCCAATACACTTAACAAAGACCCTATTTATAGAGTTTAAAAAGAATGCCTAAAAGCCATCAGCAAATGAAAACCATAAAAAAAAACTGATTCCAAATTAATTGGAATTTACACGGTCTAATAGATTTAATAGAGAATGAAAGCTGAAGTAATCGTGGTATATCAACGGAACAAAACGCATCAACGGGCTGAAGAATCCCAAATAGGTGGGACACGTGTCGCACGAAGAGGAGATGAGAGGAGAAAATTGCCGACAGCGGGGTTCATTCTGACACGTGGTGCGCGCTGATTTGTGGAGAGGAAGAAGTGGCCGACAACTGGGTCCCATATGGACACGTGGCAGGAGTTGGTTGGAAAGCTACTGCAAGGCGGAACCCACGCGGAGAAGAAAGGAGAACCGCTTGACGCGCGCATGGAGGAGACTCGCCCGGGGAGGGAACCGTGCGTGCCAAGCGTGCGTACGCGAGAGAAGTGTTGGGCCCCATACGTCTGCAGCACGCCAGACTTCGACACGTGGCGAGCGCTGGTGAGGCTCGCATGGCTCGGCTCCAATCGGCTCGGCTCGGCAGGCTAAAAGGCTTCTTAGTGGGCTTTTTTTCTTTTTTTTCTTTTCTTTTTAGATTCGGCCCCAACACTTTATTTCCTTATAAAAATAAATTAAATTAAATTTAAATTAAATACTTCCACATAAAATTAATTCCATAAAAATATTTAATTAAAACCTAATTTATTTAATAATTATGAACAATTTAGGTGCATTTTCATGCACTTATCACCTAGCTACTTATGGCTGATATGAACAGTAAACTTCGACAACATGAAAGGTTTTCAGCTAGGGGAAGTGATAGTGCCCATTTGATGTCTCGATCCTTCCGAGAAGCTGTTGATTCCTTAGGTCTGATTAACATGGAAGCCAAGGGCAGAAGATATACTTGGTCGAATGGGGCTGATAATGGGCTCCTGGGAAAAGCTCGTTTAGACAGGGCTTTAGTTAATCTGGTGTGGAGAACCCAATTCCCTCGTGCAAATTTCAAAATTTTACCAGCCATGTATTCAGAACACTATCTCATTTTGCTGGATTTTAATGGTGAAGAGCGCTTTAGGAGGAGCTTTAAATTCCTGGAAGTCGCTTGGTTGTTCTTAGAGCGTGGAATTCTTCATCTAGAAATGGGCAGACTGATAAACTGTTGGCTAGGCTCCCGAGTACTAGAAAAGCTCTTCGAGGTTAGAACCAGGATCACTTCAGAAATATCCAAAAGAATATCTAGACTTACTAGAATGAGATTGCTCATCTTCAAGAGCAGGGAGAATGGAGGAAGACTTAAATATTATGAGCAGAAGAATCTGGAAGAGCTTTTGCTTATAGAAGAAATGTTATGGAAATAGAAATCCATGGTTCAATGGCTACAATAAGGGGACAGGAGTTCTTTCATGTGTCTACTATAATTAGAAGGTGTAAACATTGGATTCACAGCATCAAAGACGAAACAGATGCTCTCCTCGATAGTATGGAGGATATAGAAAATGCCTTTGTCCGAAAGTTTGAGAGGCTGTATTCCTCTGAAGGTAATGTTTTCCCTTCAAACAATGAAGGCTTAATTGCTCTAGTTGTATTACCAGAGGGTAATCTTTAGCTCACAATGCTACCCACAGAGGACGAATTTAAGAAAACTGTGTGGTCTATAGATCCGTTGAAAGCTCCGGGGCCGGACGGCTTTTTCAGGATATTTTTCAAACATTACTAGAGTGTGTGATGAATTCTTTAAATCTGGGGTGATGGCGGCCAAGCTCAATAAGACTAATGTTTGCCTTGTACAAAAGGTGGAGCATCCTACGACTACAAATGATTTCCGCCCTATAAGTCTTTGTAATTTGTATATAAAATTATATCAAAATTATTGGCTAGTGGGCTGGAACAGTTGCTGTCTAAAATAATCTCCCTTATCCATGCAGCTTTTGTCTCAGGCCGGTCAATATGTGATAATTCCATTATCACTCAGGAGGTTCTCCATTGCATGAAAAAATGAAAAGGAAAGACTGGTCTCATGTTCATCAAAATCGACATGGAGAAGGCGTTTGACAGAATATAGAAGGATTCCTTGAAGCTGTGTTGCGGTATTTCAGTTTCAGCTAGATGTTGACTAACTGAATAATGCAATGTGTTCATTCTCCAGTATTTTCAATTATTATCAATTACATACCGAGCAGGGAGATTACGCTTAGTAGAGGTCTGAGACAAAGAGATCCCTTATCGTCATTCTTATTCATTCTATGTGCTGAAGTGTTATCTCGGATGTTTAAGAAGGAGAGCAGGATGAGCAATTTCAAGGGGGTTCAAGTTTCTAGGGGAGGAACAGTACTCACTCACTCTCCCTTTGCAGACGATCTAGTGGTATTTGGGAGTGCGAGTAGACAAACGGCTAATGCCATCTAGCAGTGCTTAGAGTCTTATCGTTACTGGTCTGGGCAGAGGTTAATGCTGGAAAATCTTTGATTTATTTTAGTAGAAACACATACAGTAGTAAAGCAATGGAAGTCACGGACGTGTACAGTTATAAACGAATTTAAGAAAGACCGGTGCATCTCGGGCTTCCCTTATTTAAAACTGAAAGCAAAACCAAAGACTGGCATTATTGTTGAAGTA